GTACATCTTCTCTGGGGACCAGATTCTGGTCTTATGTACACCAGTGTAAATCTGTAAAAAGCAACAAAGAGTCCTGTGACACCTTATAGACTAACAGATGTATTGGAGCATAAGCTTTCGTGGGTTAATACTCACTTCGTCAGACGCATGTAATGGAAATTTCCAGAGGCAGGTATAAATATGCAGGCAAGAATCAGTCTGGAGATAACAAGGTTAGTTCAATCAGGGAGGGTGAGGCCCTCTTCTAGCAGTTGAGGTGTGAACACCAAGGGAGGAGAAACTGCTTTTGTAGTTGGCTAGCCATTCACAGTCTTTGTTTAATCCTGAGCTGATGGTGTCAAATTTGCAAATGAACTGAAGCTCAGCAGTTTCTCTTTGAAGTCTGGTCCTGAAGTTTTTTTGCTGCAGGATGGCTACCTTTAAATCTGCTATTGTGTGGCCAGGAAAGTTGAAGTGTTCTCCTACAGGTTTTTGTACATTGCCATTCCTAATATCTGACTTGTGTCCGTTTATCCTTTTACGTACTGACTGTCCAGTTTGGCCAATGTACATAGCAGAGGGGCATTGCTGGCACATGATGGCATATATAACATTGGTGGACGTGCAAGTGAATGAACTGGTGATGTTGTAGCTGATCTGGTTAGGTCCTGTGATGATGTCGCTGGTGTAGATATGTGGGCAGAGTTGGCATCAAGGTTTGTTGCATGGATTGGTTCCTGAGTTAGAGTTGTTATGGTGCGTTGTGTGGTTGCTGGTGAGAATATGCTTAAGGTTGGCAGGTTGTCTGTGGGCGAGGACTGGCCTGCCTCCCAAGGTCTGTGAAAGCGAGGGATCATTGTCCAGGATGGGTTGTAGATCACTGATGATGCGTTGGAGAGGTTTAAGCTGAGGACTTTAGGTGATGGCCAGTGGAGTTCTGTTGGTTTGTTTCTTGGGCTTGTCTTGCAGCAGGAGGCTTCTGGGTACACGTCTGGCTCTGTTGATTTGTTTCCTTATTTCCTCGTGCGGGTATTGTAGTTTTGAGAATGCTTGGTGAAGATCTTCTAGGTGTTGGTCTCTGTCTGAGGGGTTGGAGCAAATGCGGTTGTACCTCAGTGCTTGGCTGTAGTCGATGGTTCTTGTGGTGTGTCCGAGATGGAAGCTGGAGGCATGGAGGTAGGCATAGCGGTCGGTGGGTTTTCGGTATAGGGTGGTGTTAACGTGACCGTCACTTATTTGTACTGTGGTGTCTAGGAAGTGGACCTCCCGTGTAGATTGGTCCAGGCTGAGGTTGATGGTAGGGTGGAAGCTGTTGAAATCATGGTGGAATTCTTCCAAAGTCTCCTTCCCATGGGTCCAGATGATGAAGATGTCATCAGTGTAGCGTAGGTAAAGAAGGGGCGTGAGTGGACGAGAGCTGAGGAAGCATTGTTCCAGGTCAGCCATAAAAATGTTGGGATATTGTGGGGCCATGCGGGTGCCCATAGCGGTGCCACTGGTCTGGAGGTATATATTGTCACCAAATTTGAAATAGTTGCGCGTGAGGATAAAGTCACAGAGCTCAGCAATCACTTTTGTTGTGTCATCATCAGGAATACTGTTCCTGACAGCTTGTATTCCATCTGTTTGTGGGATGTTTGTGTAGAGAGCCTCCACATCCATGGTGGCTAGGATGGTGTTTTCTGGAAGATCACCAATGCATTGTAGTTTTCTCAGGAAATCAGTGGTGTCATGGAGATAGCTGGGAGTGCTGGTGGCGTAAAGTCTGAGTAGAGAGTCCAATATCCGGATAGTCCTTCAGTGAGAGTGCCAATTCCAGAGATGATGGGGCATCCAGGATTTCCAGGTTTGTGGATCTTGGGTAGTAGATAGAATAACCCCGGTCGGGGTTCTAAGAGTGTGTTGATTTGTTCCTGTGTTAGTGTAGGGAGTGTCCTAAGTAGATGGTGCAGTTTCTTAGTATATTCCTCAGTGGGATCTGAGGAAAGTGGCCTGTAGAATTTGGTATTGGAGAGTTGTCTGGCAGCCTCCTTTTGGTAGTCAGACCTGTTCATGATGACAACAGCACCTCCTTTATCAGCCTCTTTGATTATAATGTCAGGGTTGTTTCTGAGGTTGTGGATGGCATTGCGTTCTGCACGACTTAGATTATGAGGCAAGCGATGTTGTTTTTCCACAATTTCTACCTGTGCACGTCAGCGGAAGCATTCTATGTATAGGTCCAGACTGTCATTTCGACTCTCAGGAGGAGTCCATGTGGAGTTCTTCTTCTTGTGCTGTTGGTGGGAGGGTATCTGTGTATCAGTGTGCTGTTCAGTGTTATCTTGAAAGTATTCTTTGAGTTGGAAACAGCAAAAGTAGGCTTCCAGATCACTGCAGAACTGTATCATGTTTGTGGGGGTGGTGGGGCAAAAAGAGAGTCCCTGTGATGGGACAGACTCTTCTGCCGGGTTGAGTGTGTAGCTGGATAGATTGACGATATTGCTGGGTGAGTTAGGGGTACCACTGTTGTGGTCCCATGTGGCAGGTAGGATTTTAGATAGCTTACGGTCCTTTTTCCTTTGTAGAGAGATGAAGTGTGTAATGTAGATCTCCTGTCTTATTTTATTTTATTTAAAGTCCGTTTGTGTGGAGGGTTGGTTTTTTATGAAAGTCTCCAGGTTGGAGAGCTCTTTTTTGATGTTTTCCTGTTTGCTGTATAGGATGCTGATCAGGTGGTTCCTCAGTTTCTTTGATAGTGTACGGCATAATCTCTCACTGTGGTCTGTGCAGTATGTAGATAGCAAATCTGTAAATCTGGAGTAACTTCACCAAAGGCAGTGGAGTTACCTTGGACTTACACTGGTGTAACTCAGGTCAGAATCAAGTCCTGTAACTCTGTAGAGAAGCTAACTGATGATGCAGCTAAATGAACAGGTTCACATGGAAAAAAGCACTTGCTTACAAGTCCTGAGATTTTCTTTGCTAAACTATTGTCAAGCTGTGAGATAAGACCAACAATTTGCAGACCAGCACCTACCAATTTCTAATACTTGTTTTTAGCTGTTTATTCTGGTGTTGGTGTTTGCGTGTGGGCAGGGTGCTCAGGTTTTTGTGGAGGGGGGTCTTCTTCCCTTCCTTTAATGAACACTAGTTCTACTTTACAAAAAAAAGCTTAATCTTTGGAAAAAGAAGTGGAATGATAGTTATTTTTTCCTCTAATGCATTTACACCTGTATTTTGTCTCTGTACCACACAAACTGGCAGGGCTAAACAATATTAGATAATTGTACCTGTCGTACACTGCACATTGTGCTTTGGGGGAGACAATTAATTGCTGGGCTTCTTGCCTGCAGGTTAAGCAGTGATCCCATGATTTGACTGGGAGCATGCCATTTTCCCTCCCATTCTATATTGTATTCAGCCAAGCAGTGTGAAAGGATTCATGTACAGCTGCGCTGTGTGAGTGGGCGGGCATCTCATTCAGTAATAACTTCTAATTTATACAGCCATGAATATCTACAGCTATAAATAAACAGTTCTGACTGGCTTTGCAAGCCTACTCAAAGTAGAGAGAGAAACATCATCTTGGCTGTGCTGTTTTAAAATGTTGTGCAAAAGAAATGAAAGGCCAGCTCCTCTTTTGGTGTAAATCAGCATAGCTCTATTGCAATCAAGGGAGCAATGTCAGTTTATACCCATTGACTCTGATGCATCATGTAATTTTTCTCTTCTTCTTTGGCTGTGTTTGCATCAGAGAGAGACCCAAACTCAAGCCCAGGGGCTGATCACCCGGAACTATGGGGACAAACTTTTTATCAACCTGAATTTAACCTCACAGTGCAGGTCCCATATCTCCCTCATAGAGAACTGAGTAGGGAATGCTATCCTTTCTATAGGATTTTTAAAGCAACCTATAGAATTCTCCTCCACTTTCTGTAGCTTTGCACTGAGGTCATGGAAGTAATACTCTGAAGACAGCCTGACTGCACAGGTGTAGTTGCGGGTATGATCTTCCATGAAGAACCTCTGGCTGGTGGTGATGCATGAGAGTGAAAGAACCAGTCTGGACTCTCAGCCCAGAGTAATTTGAGGGACTGGCAGTTAGGAAAATACATCCCCTTGAATACAGAGTCCATATGACATGGAAATCATTGAGACACAATGAATATACAGCCTCCTGGTGCCATTTTTACAGTCACTTTTCAGGGAGAACTTTACTTTAAGAAGAGAAATTTTGAGAAAGTAAAATGATTTAGTATTAACTGTATTAGATTCTATTAAACATCAACAAGTGTGCACCAAAACCAGTGGGTCCCACCATATGAAACCAGATCCAATTATCTTCTCTTTAGGGATAGTGGGATCCTGTGTTTTGTTGAGCCAACCCCCTGATATTTCTATCGCACATTAGTATCTATTTCACTGTAATATTTTGCCACTGAACTTTCAATATATTATTTTGTTACTTTCTACGGTAAGTCTCAATTTTTATCTCTTCTTTCTCCCTTAATTCACTGCCCTTTTTTCTTCTGCCTGCTTCTCCCTTCAGTTTTTCCACTGATCATCTTTTCCCCTTCTAGCTAAACCTCCCTGTTGTGCTCCTCCACTCCCTCCCTCTAGTTCAATGAAAGAAGGAGGTGCTACAGTCCCCTCACTAAACTTTGAAGTGAATTGTGCAGTAACCTGAAAATAGCTATGGATGCATGGATCTCCTCTTGGCTCATAGGAATAACATGGTATGCAAGTTAGTACTGGTATGTTAAATTCCCAATCCAGAGTGTTAGCAGGTGTGCAACATGTGAGAAGAACCAAGTTTGTATGTCCACTTTGTTTTTGTGTATTATTCCCAGACAGTTAATCCATACATGTTTCTCTTTTATGCTTTGGTAAGCAGTAGCAGCACTCAATGATGCAAACAACACCCTCGTGGATTGAATGTGTTATAGTGCTGAGCTATCGACATTGCAATGAAGTAATAGTTACCCACTGAAGTACTGCCAACTAATTTAAAATTGTCATCTAAATGCATCACTAACAATACAGAGATATTCTTTTATGCTGACCATTCAAGTACACTTTCACTCCAGGACTTGTTTTTGTTTGTTTATTTGGATTTGCAAAGCATCTCTCCAGTGCTCTAGTTATTAACAAAATGTTGAGGCTAATAATAGAAATCGAGTATATCAAGCAAGGTTAGTAAACATATGAATGTAATACAATTTTATGGCAGGCAGCTTTATGTTAAACAGTACTTTCAATTAACATACTTTCTGTCAAAGCAATCCTGCAGTCAGTAAAATTACTTAGCTTACTTTTGCTTCAAGATTACCTGAAACCAAAAAAGAAAAAGTATTGCATTCTTGTTAGAAATTAAGAAGAAAAAGTTATACATATTAATATGTATGTTGCCTGTTGCAAAAATGGTGGTTTTTATTATCTTTAATATTTTTCTAATTTTGGATGTCATGGCAATGTTAAAATTATTACTCTTTTTTATTTTTCCATCTGGACTTCTAGAAAAACATTAGGTGAGCGAAACAAGTACTGAGTAACAAGTGCTTGCTTTCACGGGGCATTTAAAGATGTGGTGCCAGTCCCACTGCAAGGTCATGAGGTAATTTATTTGCCAGTTACAAGTTTACCACAGACATATCCTAATGTATATTGTGTAAGGGATGAGAAATCTTGTACACAGATGCATGCATTTCCTTATTCGTAGCAGTTGCTTTGTTTCATAACCATCCTGTAAAATACTATCATTTAATATTTTCCACAAGTTTCCATGGTTATGATGACCAAATGGATTCACCAGAAGACACAGTACGTTGGAGAAGGAGTTTATCACAGTGGCATTTCTTTCCCTCTACTTCATGGCTTCAGAATTCATGGAGGGAGCACTCCTTTGAAAAGAAAGCTTCATTTGCCCTTCCTCTTGTATTCCAGTATTACTACTGTATCTCCTGTTCAGAGACAAAGGGGAACAAATTGCTAATCAGAGGCACCAATAGAAAAGTTCATGTATATGTGAAGCATGTTAGCATAGTGATAGACCAGAATCAGTCCCTGGAGTCTCAGCACCCCTGAAGTTGAGTGGGGTTGGCATAGGGGTGAGAGCTGAATTGTGCACTTTGGACCGATCTTTATTTTCAAGGTAGGAGGGAAGACAAACTTGCCTGACACAAGGTAGATTACTAGCCACTGGAGAAGAATTTGAAATGCACCATGGGCCAAGTCCTGGTGCCACTGAAAATAACGAGTGTTATAAGAACAATAAAAAAAAGGTTTAAAAAAGGAAAATAATGGGTGTTCTACCATGGACTTCAGTGGGGAAAGGATCTGTCCCTGTATTAACTGGATAAAATAATATTTTAAAATAAAGTTCCTGCAAGGACTTTGGAGTCCAGACATTATCTTCTCTCCCCTCCATTTTCTATGTCCCAGCCTTACACTTGCTGTTAGCCAGTTGGCAAATCACTCTGTTTGCCTTCTAGTTGCACTGGATGTCCAGTACCCGGCAATGATTCATGTAGGTCTTGGCAAGCTTTTGCAGCCTACTTACAGTACAGCAAAAGGCTCTGCACCTTTGCAGATGGAGATGAAGTGAATGCATCACATTATAGTGAGAAAAGAGGAGAAAATGTATACACCTTCTCAGGGCAATTTCACCTGGCATGTCATTAAATCAAACTACCTGATGCCATGTGGAAGATTAATGACAGATTTATACTTATTGCCCCTGAAAGAATTAATTGTGTTCCACTAAACATGTATTGCAAAATGGACAGCAATAAAATATAACTCTCCTGGGAACACCGTGAATGTGGAAAAGGGTTGTTTTTTTCCCCCTTTAGTGAAGTGAGAGACATTGGAATGATAGGTGAACCACAAAGGCATTTGACACTTAAGATGGTGGTCTGAACTGGCCAAACCTTTAGAAGCCTCTCCACTCATCTTCCCACTCTTCCTGCCCCTTATCCTTTACTGTTAACAATCCTCCTCCTGCTTACTGAGAACATTTTAGAGGACGCTTAGTGGCCCACTGCCCCAACCTCCAAGACCATGCTTTGGGGGAGGCTCTGAAGCTCTTCCTCCAGCAACAGAACTGGGTTCCACTGCTGCCCCTTTTCAGCTTCCCTTGTAGAATTACACCAGATTGCACAGCATGTAGGAAGGATCCTGACATACAGCAACATTCCTTGCACAATATCCTAACAGAAGAAGCATGTTAGACTGACCAGTGCAAACGGGTATCTCATGGATAGGAAAAACAGGAGGTACTTTTACTACAATGGTCATGTACACTTCGCATGGGTAGTCACCTATCAGGGATGGTATGGGTTTACTTGGCCCTGCCTCAGCGCAAGGTGCTGGAGTTGATGACTTCTTGAGGTATGTTCCATATCTATGTTTCTATGATTCTACATGCTGGCTGGTGTGTATTTATATGGTTGGCCTTTCCTGATGGAATCATGCTGGCTTGCTCACTCAAGTGTTTGTGATTATGTCGCCCTCTAGTGGATGGCAAATAAAGAGGTAATAAGCCCTCTTAACACTGACAGATGATGAAAATCCTCTAGAGATACAAGTCTGTCTTTCAAGAATAGAAGATCCAGACTCTTGAACCCCAGTGGTCATTTGTGGTTTGAATGACACATATGAAGCATCTATAGAGAGAGAGCCACAGACTCGTTACACAACTATGGCTGACAGAGGAGACCAAGACAGACTAGGCGTTTGGCTCATGAGTGCTGAGACATTAATAACATCCTTTTAATTCCTGAAACTTGAGTCCTTTCCCCTACTGCAGATGTATAGAGCTTGTGGAAATAAATAGTCATTATTTAACTAATGTAATGAGAATACCTTGCTCATTTACTCTTCAGATGTAAAGGGGGCAGAAATGAAGGTATTTTCTAGAAAGAAGGGTCTTTTTTTTTGTCTGAAAACTAAAAGTGGACTCATGTAGGAAATCTCAACTGTAATAAAGAAAAGTGGAACTTGGATCTAGTATGTTAGTTTCTCAGAGAACACAGCCATTTTATAGTTTATGTAAAATGTGACTTTCTGGTGAGGCCCACCCCTGTATAATGCTAAAATTTGTCACTTTCCTCCCTCCAGGGAGGTTCACATCCTTACAGATTATCATTGTAGGTACTACATTCTCAATTCAGCAGCAGTTCAAGGGAAAATGCAGCCACTAGAAAGCTTCAAGCTTGCACCTCTAGGTTACAATACCACTTTTTAACTGCACTGAGGTATGCCTTGCCACAGTGACTGTGCTTCCTAATAGTTCACCACATTGTACTAAGGAAGTCTGGCTTTACAAGCTGAAGAATGCAAACATAGCGCCCATAAAATGTGCAGTCCCTAAACTTTTTATACCTGTCTATGAAATAGTGTGCATACCATACAAACACTACTACACCAAAAGACAGTTAAGATTACAATCATGTTCCATAAGCTCTGGTATCTTAAAATGTATTGAATTTTCTTTCTTTTTTCATGCACAAATCATATTTCAGTTAAAAATTCCACTCCGTTTCTACAGGCATAAATGTGCACTACCAATGACCTGCTGGAAGACCTTCGATTCTGTAGCTTCACAGAAACTCCTGCGTGTGCAGAAAGAAGGGATTTTTAAGCACTTATAATTTTCTCCAACTCAAATCTGATTTTCACTTGACCAATGGAAGGCACAGCTGCAAGCAAGGGACTATGACCCTGCTAAATGTTAAGTTTCAAACACTAATCACTGATGCTTCAGAGCTCTTTAAAACAAAAAAAAAGTTGCAAAAATCTTTTTCTAGCAACAAGTATTGCTCAAAAAAAAACAACCTTTCTCTTTTTCTGTCCAACTGACAATAACCCTGCCACAGATCAGCCAAAATGATATTTGACAAAATTATAAGCATCTGAAATTGATGGTTTAGAACAAAAATTCATTAGCATGCTTAACTATAGGCATTACCGTGTGTTCTGCCTGTAATAAAGACTGCATGAAGATTTGGTATACTATAACTGCTTTACAGGAACTCAGGTGGGATCACACAAATAATCTGTACATAGTAGCCCTGATCCTGCAAATTGTTCTGTGTGGGTAGATGCCTGCCCCTGTGCAGAGCCCCCATAAGTGGGGCCAGGGCTGGCGCAACCCATTAGGCAACCTAGGCGGTTGCCTAGGGCGCTACAATTTGGGGGGTGGCGACCGCGGCGGTATTTCGGCAGCAGGACCTTCCGCCACCTCTGTGGGGGGCGGCATTTCGGGGCAGGATCTTCCGCCGCCTAGGGCAGCAGAAAAGCTGGCGGAGCTCCTGAGTGGGGCTCTGTACAGCCCAGAGGCCCTCCCACATCCTACAGCTTGCAGGACTGGGAGCAGTATTTTCTCTGCAGACTGAACTGTTGGTCCTTTAAGTCAATATTCTGCCTTTGGCACTGAATAATACCAGCTACTGCAGAGGAAAATTTTAAAAATTGCTTAATGTATCTGAGCCAATTATTCTGTTGTACATTGTGGGGAAGGGATATCCTTCCTGAGATTTGGTGACTGGCCTACATCTCAAAGTTTGACATCTGACTACTGGAAACATGCAAAAACTCCTGAATCTGATTCACAATGATCAATGCTTGATGGACTTTCTTGGGAGTTCCAGAGCTTTCACAATCACAGGCCACACCTTGTTTGTGTTTCATTGTGAACTGGACAGGGCATTGCCTGTGAGTGTGTGAGAACTTGCTCAAACTATAAGTAGTGTTACAAGAGTGTTCTTTGTCGGTACATATGTCAACAGTCAGTTCATACATAAGATGCCAGTAGATGACATGCAAGTTTATGTGGCCTACTTCTTGGGTTTTGATGGACCAATAAAATTACTTGTTGGTCTGCTTCGCAAATGTCTTCCCTGATGCAAAGCGCTTCACAAGTTTTTAACATGGTGTGAGAGTGGAATCTGAACCCACACGTCCATACAAAGGCCAGAAAATGTCTTTCTTTGTGCAGCTCTTTACATCAGTTCTTACCCGTGGTGAAATCTTGTGAGGGGAACAGCCAAGTTGTTAGGAGACACAGGCTGGAGTTGGAAATAAAACAATACATTTATACTGTGACACACACTTTATTGTGAGGAGGTGTCCTTTGAGTAGCTTTATGCAGTATAATTACTTATAGGGTGGATCGCCTGTATGTTTTACTATGGTATTGCTGTGCTATACTATAGTCCAGTAGTTCTCAACCAAGGATATGCATAGCTCTGGGGGTACACAGAGGTCTTCAATGGGGGACATCAACTCATCTAGATATTTACCTAGTTTTACAACAAGCTACATAAAAAGCAGTAGCCAAGTCAGTACAAACTCAAATTTCATACAGACCATGACTTGTTTATACTGCTCTATATACTATACACTGAAATGTAAGTACAATGTTTATATTCCAATTGATTTATTTTATAATTATATGGTAAAAATGAGAAAATAAGCAATTTTTCAGTAATAGTGCGCTGTGACCCTTTTGTATTTTTAGGTCTGATTTTGTAAGCAAGTAGTTTTTAAGTGAGGTGAAACTTGGGGGTACGCAAGACAAACCAGTCTCCTGAAAGGGGTACAGTCGTCTGGAAAGGTTGAAAGCCACTGCTCTAGTTTAGAAGTGATGGAGGTGGCAGAGAAGGGAAACTGAAGGCTGAGGGGCAGAAGGTGCACTAAACCAAGGAGAGGAGTGCAGGGGGGCAGGAGGAGAAGGAAGAATGGGTCAGGAGTGCCACCAAAAAGACCTGTCTGCCAACTCTAGGACCATCTCAGAGTACGAGCTGGTTTGTCAGTTGCCTTGCATTTTGCTCCAGAGGTGCAAGCCATGGTGTAGGTGGGACTCAAAGGGGTACCACAGTCTGTGAAGACAACTTAATTCCCACTACAGGAGGAGTCTGAAGAGACTAGTGGGTAGCAGGAACTCACATAGCACTGAACA